CCCCAAAACCCCAAAACCCCAAAACCCCATTAAACTAAATTTTAAGATTAAATATTTTATGAAATTTAATGATAATTCAAAGAATACATTTATTTAATTCCATTCAAAGGATATCAGTTGCGCTTTTCCTTAGTTTATCAATTAACGTGTATATATTATGTTATTTATATTAACAAACTTATAGAATAATTGAGCAGAGTTTCTTTAGTAAAATGTCATTGGAACTCAAACAAGAACAAATTCTTTCAATCTCTTATATCCTCTTCGACAGTAAAAGCTCTAACAATTCGTTTCTTCATGTTTGACATTTATGGATGATTCCCTTCAAGTCTAGGAGAGATACCATCTTCATTTATACTGCTACTATTAGCTCGACTATCTCTTTTGATAAAATCATCGCTGTTTAATTTAAACTCAGGAGTCATTCTGTCTGAAACCATTTTTTTAAGATGAGGAACACTAACTATTTTATCATTTGGTGTTCTATTAGAGTGGCCAAATCCAATATCATAGTTTTCAGTGCAGATATCGTAATTATCATCAATATCTGCATCATCTTCATTATTTCTCTCCTCTATCTTATCGATTGACTCATTAAGATACATATTTCTTTCGAGATCATTTTGACTAGAAGAACTAGGAGGTCTATTGTTTAGAAGGTCCACTATATCCTCATCAACAGTAGATTTTATTTATCGGTGAGACCTATCAGAGTTAAGATTATTCATAACATCATTATGAATGTTATGTTGTTCATCAGAACCAAAAAGTTCATTAATTCTTTAGAGCTGCATGTAATTTGTAGAAGGTCTTTAATTGTTATTTTAGGTTGAATACTAGGTAGTTTCAAAAGTACCAAACTGATCTTCACAAGAGTTTAAGGTAATCTTTGGCATTTTGTTATTTACTGGTGAGTTACGTGTTTCTGTTTGGAAATCAGTCACCATAACTGGATTATTATAATCTTGAATGTAATCATCCTCCTCCTATTGATAATTATCATCGTTTTCATTCTTCTTTTAACTGTTATAGTTTGTGTTAACGGCTGATTCTCTAATAAAATCATCAATTGATGTAAACATTTGACCTTTATTTTTAGGTGCAGCTGATCCATGAATAGGGGACTAAGTGAAAAAGTTCTCAAGCATTGGTTGATCGATTAAGACTTAACCAAGTTTACCTCTTTAAAGCTCCTTTTCAATAGAATAGAATGGGTTTTATGAATTATTTTAATTCCTATAGCCATATTGATTGATAGCTAGATTGCTATTTCTATTTGAATTATTAACAGTAGTGGGTTGATTATCAAGATTTAATGATCCCCTTCCACCACTTAATTAAGAAGTTGGTCTACTGTCGAAGCAATTGATTTATAGTTTATTGTTTTAAGTCATATCATCTGTTGAACTTCTGACGTATTATCTGGTGCTATCGTAATTTTTGGAGTTTTTTCTTGACCTCTTTTTAACTAGATTTTTTAAATTTGTTTATGATGTTTATGTTAGTTATACTCTTTAAGTACCATTTCCCTTACTATGTGTGCTTAGCTTATTTTTCTAATGAATAGCTTTAGTCTTTGCTTTGTCATAAAGTGATTTTGTAGCCTCGCTTGCACGAAGTTAGATATTTTTTTCAAATGAATTTCCCTCGTAATCCTGCATAAAGTTATTGTTGTGCCCGTAGTTTGTTCCATTCGTCATATAGTAATCAGCACTCTATTATAGAACTTCTAGATGGCTTTGAAGTTGCCTAAGTTCGCTAACTTCATCTTTAAGTGTTAGTAGTTCATCAGTATATTAACCTCTTGTCCCTCTAATATCCTCATTTTAATTTTCTACCAATTGATTCAGTTCACTTATCTTGCTGTGAAGAATCTTTGTCCTTATTTTGTAAAATGCTTATAATTCTCTCATTGAAAGCCCAGTTTCTTTTCTTTCTATGTATTCCTCAATTTAATCGTCAAACAGCTATGTCATTGTGTCATATATAGGAAGTAGGTCTTGTTCCGTTAGACTTTTAATCAATTTAACCTCTTAACAAAGACACTCAAATTCATCGATGTAAAATTCTATCTCGCTTATGTCGATTCTTAAGTTCTATTATTCGCATTGATCAAGGAATTTTATTTCATCGAATGCTCTGATTTATTAATAAGACCTTAGGTTGTCTTCCTCAAATAGTCTAATATTAGGATCATCATCATTTTCGAGATAAGGATGCACATCAACTGTGATTGCTCTTGCTTACTTAATCATTTTCAACAGATTATCCTTGTAGAACTTTAACTTATTAAGATCAGCAAACAATCTTATTGGCTCTAGCAGATCTTTGTTTTCTTTTTTCTCCAGCATGAAGGTGTTTCTTTCCAAGATCTCCCAGAATAGCTTAAAAATTTTAAAATGCGACCCGAATTTATCCTCAATATCTCTCATCAGGTTATCAACATTGTAATGCAAATTTCTCAAATTAGATGCAACTTTATGGGGAAGCAAGGAAAACACTCTAACATCTTCCTATTAGGTTTCAATAGCTTAAGCAGAGTTCTTGCAAAGAGTTGAAGCTAAGAATAATCCTAGCGAGTTTAGTAATTGTAGTATGATCATTTTAATTTATTATTTTATTATTGGCGAAATGCTAATCATCGGTAATTTCATTGATTCTTGCGTGAAGGGGTTTTGGGGTTTTGGGGAGATCGGAAGAGCGTCGTGTAG